GGAATGACAAGTGTACATCAAAAGACGTGTGTGAAAAAATGATATCCCTTATTTGATAATGATATGGAAATATTGATGTTGATAGCCCATATACATGTTGGCTTTGTTGATTGAGTATGATGTTGCCCATTGATTTTTGTGCACTTGTGATTATGAATGGTTATTTTGATACAGTTAATGTGTGAACGTTATATTTGAAATATTGGATGAATGTATTATTGTGGAGGATGATGTGTGGAGAGTATGGTGTCAAAAGACGAAGTCTAAGATCTCAAAACTTATCATGCATGATGAGGAGATGGTAAATGGGGCAGAGTTGAAGAGCTCTAGTCCATCATAACAATGCTGGGTTTGATATATTGGGTAGTGTTGAAGGGTTCTAGTCCATTGAGGCATATTGATTCATATGGTTCAAAAGGTGGTTATGAGGGACCTTAGACCATGGTCTTGATGTTCTTGCGAGATTGATTCTTTTGGTGATGGGAAATTCCATCTAATCATGATATGAGCATTGTTTATACAATATATGAGTACGACATTGTGACAAATTGAATTGTTCTATGAGAATGATTATTAACTCACTAATTATGGATGGAATTACTATGTGATAGATCCTAAAATTAGATTTGATGTGATTCAAGTACGAATCGCTATAAGCCTAACAACAAGAATTGAGAATATGGTATAACCTTTATGAGGGAACTAATACCCAATAATGAATAACATCTTTGATTTTTGTGTACATGATTTTATATATGCTCAATATTTTATTGCATAAATAACTTATGAAATGTGATATTTGTTATGATCAAATGTTGTTAGATTTACAACTGTCTTGTTTCCAAGGTTTAAAAGAGAAATCTATGTTTATGCAATGATGCATGCTTATTACAAATTGATGATATGAGCTAAAACTCTTCCCTTTAGCTTGTCCCTTTCCTTGTATCCATTTACAGAGTCTTCGTGACTCATTTGTTATTTTGCCTTATATTTTTTTTAGAGATCAGTACCCTGCTTGGCTAGGCACCTTGTAGAGGAATAGCTTACTTCATAATTAGTGAGTGTGATAATGCCTTCCTGCTAGACCTTGAGTGCCACTACAATATGCACAGTGTTGAGTCAAGTCTTTTGAATGTTGCTATTAAAGGATACTTAGTGATGTAATAAATATACTTATGTTTTTTATTCATTTTGAATATTGTGTTAAGCCTTAGAATTGGGTGTGGATTAATATTGAAACTATGGTGCACAAACCATAAGAGATATAGGCACGGAATGTGTGCCGAAGCTTAAATGACTGTATAAATGTGAATATTGTTATGATATGAACTAGAAACCATATTTTATGTTGAGAAGTTCCATGGTTGTGTGATGGTATGTATGTAATGACTATATGATTAATGATCAACACATTATATTAAGAAATTCAATAATGTTGTGACTATGTTTTAATAGTTGTGTTGATGTATAATTGTGGTGGATGACAAGCGAACATATGATATGCATAAGGCTTGCTTGGGCCTAGCTGGCTATACCCATGTAAGTCCATGCCCCGATCTTGTCTCGGATATGGGATGTGACAAAATGTCAATGTTGAAATGTCTTAAGAATTCGGCTTACAACTTGACCATAAAGTAGACTTGTTCTAGACTCGGTCACAATCTTTCTCATATCCACAAAGATGAAGTTTGCTAGGTTTATAGGGATTTGCAACTTAATGTGGTGGATGAACCAAAAATCCTCATAAAAGATGGTTGAATGTTTACTAACTATGGGTCATATGGTTAAACTAACAATGAAGTGTAGAATCCGATCCATCATGGATAATCTAGTGCATGCGTTATATAATAGTACTTGTATTCAAAACATGTTCAGCAATCAAAGCTATGAAATTAAAAAAAAATAACTATATTCCAAAATTATTCTAATTTTACAATTTATTTTTAGGTGTATATTTTATAAGTTTATATATACAAAAGTATATATTATAAAAATTAATTTTTTAAATTATAATTTCTATAACATTAACATAAAATAGAAAGTAAACATGTTTATATTTAAAGTATACATACTAAAAATATATATAATAGTGCTTGTATTCTTTATAAATTAACACAATATATAAAATATATGTATTAAAAGATATTACAAGTTAATTAATCATCATAGTTTCATGAATTAATTTAATTAATAATATGAATTTATCTTTAATTATATAAAATTAATATATATATATATATATATATATATATAATGAGGTTCAGGTATTAGGTACCCAAGAGGTGGTACTTGAACCTCACCTGAACCAGGTATGGGTAGTGAAATTATTACTTGAATTTTACCCCAAATTCAGTTATAAGATACCTTAATCTTATATAATTGGATTGAATATTCACAAGTACTTTATAATAAGGCACCCATTGACATCCTTAAGAAAATTCATTGATAATAAAACATTGTATCATGATATGCATGTTTGATGAAAGCATTAAAATTACCTATTAGATTAGTTGAGCATAGCCTAGGTGAGGCCAAGTTAGGCTTGGACCTCGAAGGGCATGCGTAAGATCATCCAAATATGAAAGTATTTTTTATTTAATATTTATCTTTTTGTTTATTATTACTACTATTGTATGGATAGATTCTATAAAACGATATATTATTTATTATATAAAAATAAATAGTAAACAAAAATAAATAAATAAAAAAGTCAAGCTGGCAAGTAGAGTTGGAATCTCAGGTGGAGGAACAAAGTCCTTGATATCAATAGTGTATTTGCAAGTTAGGAATCCATTTAAGAGACAATAAAAAATAGTTAAGGTCCATTTACCTCTGCCGTTGCCATTTGTGACGTTAAAAAATGTTTTCAGCTCAAGAACGCTGAGTGGCAAAAAAACAGCAAAAGCATTCGCTGTTATCAAAAATCCATTTAAATATAGAACGATCAAAATATTAATAAAATTTTTTGAATTCTAAAATTATTTTTTTAATTACTTAAAGATTTTGAATTTAAAATTAAAAATTAGTACGTTAAAAAATATATATAGTTATGATTTGAAAACATAATTTTTTAGAAATTTAAAAAAATTGGTTTTACGTACATTTTTTAAATTAAGTTTCAAATTTTTTTTGTTATATCTTAATAATAACTTCTGAAAAATACAAGAAAATTACTCATTCTTTACTTTTCATAATCATGCTCCATTACATATTTTAATTTTTCATAGAATATTTTCATATTAATGTCAAACATTGAAAAATCTCATACCATATCTGTTTGGTCTATTTTTTTTAATTTAAAATACTTGTTTGACCTGATTTTTTTTAATTTATTTATCTCTTAAAAGTAAAAGTCAGATCAAACATAAATTTTAAAAAATACTTTAAAAATATAACTTTTTTTAAAAAATAAAATTAAAAAAAAACTTTAGGAAAAGCTCTTAGGAGGAGCTTTTTCTTTTCTTTTTTTTCAAATATAGGAGAATTTTTATTTTAGTCTTAAAAAATGCTCATATGTTAAAAATAATTATAATATTACCCTCTCAAAAAATTTTTATAATAATTTAAATTAAAATTATAATTTATAAAAAAGAACTTATAAAAAAAATTTACCAAACAACTTCAGCTTAATTCTAAAAGTTATTTTTTCTCATAAAAGAAGTTAGAAAAAAACTAGGCGAAACAGGTTCAAAAACTATTATGAAGCTTTTATGAAAGGTAATAACTTTTAAAATTAAATTAAAATTGTTTGATAAATTTACTTTGATAAATTTTTTTTAATAAATAAGCTATTTGTCAAAACTTATATAAATTTTAATTTTGATTAAAATTATTATAATGGGTATTGAATAAATAACTTTATATAAGCTCTAACTATGAGAGGGTAATATTGAGATTATTTTTAATAAATGAGTATTTTTTTGAAATAAAAAGAAATTTTTCCTAAAAATTTAGCATGTTTTTAAAAGAATAGGAAAGAAAATTCCTCTCTTGAAACTTTTCTTGAATATATATTTTTTAGATTTTGTTTTTTAAAAAATAATTTTTTAAAAGCTTTTTAAAATTTAATTTGACTCTGATTTTTTATTTTTAAAAAGTAGATAAGTTAAAAAAAATAAAAAAAATTAATTTTACAAATAAAATTTCAAAAAAAAAATGAACACTAATCCTTCACAACATTTTTCAAAGATAATTTTTTGGATTAGTGAAATTTTTTGCATAATCGTAACAGCAATACGAAACTAGGTCTTAGTGATTAAGCTAGAGATATAATGAAAAGTTATAAATTAAAAGTAAAAAATTATTTAAACATAGAAAAGAATTGAACGTAAATCATAAGTTTATACAAGATCAAATTTATATTATCAAGTGGTTATAATTATTGGTGAAGGTTGAAGATTTTATCCTTACAAAGGAAAAAAGAAAAAACAATTGAATGGTCAGATAGAGCAATCATAAACGGACAACATTAGTAGAATAACATAACCGTACTTATCAAAACCACCAACATTTTCAATTATTATATGACAAATGCGTCAAACTTAATGACGAAGTGTAAGAAACGCAAATACAATGGGCGCTCTGGCTTCCTTTTCCTTGATTAAAAATGTGATTGCGGTGTCCATTTTGTCCCCTCTCTTCCTCTTCCTTCTTCTTATCTTATCCCCATCAAAATTTCCTCTTTTATCTTTCTTGCATTAGCTCTTATAAATCAAAGTTCATTGAACCTTACTCAAAACCGCAAAGTTTGATCAGACCTTTAACAAATTCCACTGCCTTTTTTTCTATTTTGGGACCTTTCTCGGCCATTGTCCTTCCAATCGGAAGGATGATCTCAAAGATTGGTCCAATTGCTGCCAACCCTTTTCTCCACGTGGCAAGGTGTACATACACTCACATCCACCTCAGGCTACCATAGCAATCTTTCCTTTTTTCTTTTTTTTTGTCCTTTCCAAAAACAATGATAAAGTCTTCAAAACCCTATCCAAATGGCATCTTTAAAAACGATCGTAAAAGCCATAAGCCAATAAGCCTCTCCCTCCCTTCCCTTCCCCTGCCCTCCACTGCCCTGCCTACAAAACGATACTCTCAGCAAATTCTCTTTGGGGTTCCCATACACAGTTGATGGACCATAGTCTCTCCCTCCACAAAGCCCCTTCTCTCTCATCTTTTTTACCATCCGCGGTAAAAAATTCGCAGGGGCCCCACATCTTTACCCCTCCGAATTCACTTTCCAACTTCACTTTTACCCACCGGAGATCGCTTAGTACTGGCTTTACTTCTACTCCTTTCAATAACGGGAAGGTACCATCGGTCAAAGCCAGCGCCGGTGCCAGCCACTGTGATTTTAGCAGCTTGAATGCTCCGCTTGAGCCGAGGTCCGCTCCTGGAAAGTTCTTAAGCAGTGTTCTTCAGAACCAGCGACAGCTCTTCCACTTCGCCGCTGCCGATGAACTTAAACAACTTGCCGGTGATCGTGATGCTGCCGTCGCTCGTATGTTTCTCAGCTCTGCTTCCGATGAAGCCTGTCTGCACAGGTTTGTATAACAGTTGGGTTTCTTAAGTTTACTAAAAAATTTGTTTAATGTTTTTTTATTGTTCTTTGAAGGTTTATTTGCTGTTGATAAGTTGTGACTTGGGAACTTTTTATTTGCAAATGACGATTAGAATGTTTGTGCAGTGGAATAGAGCTTTTATTATGTGATGGGTCTAATTTAGTAGATCATGTGTGGAAAAAAGTCAACGTTGATTTAACAATTATGTCTCTTTGATTCCAATCAAATTCAAATCCCTTGTTCGAATGAGTTGTTAAATCATTTGTACCCTTGGTCTACTAAATGAGATCCATCAGATAATAATAAGTCTCTTTTGATTGGTGTTTTCTTTGGAAGAAACTCGTGAAAAATGTAAATGACAAAACAAAGTCATTAATGATGGATTAGTTGTGATACGGAAAATATGGTATGAAGAAGGTTCAGCTATAGCTGTGTCTATAATAGCTTTGTGCTATATAGATGTCTTTTTAACTAATACCTTGTAGATTGACTGATTCTAAGGCTATGCTAAGCCTATCGAGAGAGTTGTTTGACCGTAATTTCCTAGGGTCATAGTGTTATTACCAATGGTATTTGGTTTAATCTCTTGATCGGCATTGCAACATCTATTTGGGCATTTGAACCCATTTAATATGTATCATTTGCTCATTTATTTATTTTGCATTCATCTTTTTTTGTGTATATCCTCCATGTTTATCAACTTCTGTCTCTCATAGTACTTTACTATTAAAGAAGCCATCTATATTTTCTTTCCACAATGCATTACCGATGGATATATTCCTACTTAAATATTTCCCAACTGATGCTCTAGTTGAAGTGAAGATCACTTGGCAAAGATGAGTAGCAATGCCACATGCCATAATTAGATAAGGTTGCTGAAAGTAACATCTATTTGATGTGAAAATCACTAACATAACTAACAGTGGGCTCATCTTTGCCATGGCTATAGCTAGTAATTGGGCTTTCTTCATTCTCTTATTAGTCTCAGGGCTGAACAAATATACTATTGAAGCATAGTGTTCAGTTCTTTACCCCAAAAATTTTGCCTAGGTTCCTTAATTGTGTGCATTCTATTTTCACTTGTATTTTTTTTTTAATTTTGAATTTGGGGGAAGGGGGATTTGAACCCTATTCTTTAAACAGGGGATCATGCACCAACCAATGAACCAAATGCTCGGGTGCTATTTTCACTTGTAATTTAAACTATGGAAAGCTCAAGAAAGGCTATGATATTTATAAGCAGACAAAAACTCTCATTTCATAGGAGTTTCACAAAGGCAGCCTATAAATGGGTTTTAACAAGTTTTAAGTTCTTGACTTTGATGCAATTAAATCTTGTCTAACAATAGAGTGGAAGTACATAATGCATTGGTTACATGCTTATCGTATACTTCTTCCCCTGTTTCTATTGTTGTTGAGTACAAAAGGAAACAATAATTTTTGGTTATATTATGATTTAACTGAACTTTGAAATATTATTTAGACTATATTGGTGATTTTATCCCTTTATTCCCCTTAAATATGTAACTAGTTATAACTGTAATCTTCTCTTTTCTCTTTTAAGTTCATGGTATGATCATAAGTTGACTTGAAAATTGTACTTGTTTGTTTGTGGAACTCTTCAGTTGGCTTGGATTAGATAAGAAGTTTATTGTATTTACTGTTTCATGGTGATATCAATTAGACTTTCTGGCACAATGGCAATTGTCTTCTGCTGAAAGGGAGCTCGCCCAATCCCTGGCTTGAAACGTTTTACGATGAACCCAGGCGATGGTTGTAATAGAATGAAGTAGGTGTTATTTAAGCTGGCAATATTATCACTCTAATGAATGAGCTGCCATTGAAATACCTCAAAATTCGTATGTTGGATCCTTTGACTCTGTAGATGGTTAATATAACAATCTCTTTTGTTTTTTCTTTTGTGACCTAATTAGATTTTCCTTAATGCCAGAAGGATTGCTCAACTGAAAGAACACTACTGCCAAGCTGCTGTGGAAGATGTCATGTATATCCTAATCTTCTACAAATTCTCTGAAATCAGAGTACCTTTGGTTCCAAAGCTCTCCAGATGCATTTACAATGGTAGACTTGAGATATGGCCTTCAAAAGATTGGGAGCTAGAGTCTATACATAACCTTGAGGTTTTGGAGATGGTTAGGGAACATGTCAGTACTGTTATTGGATTGAGAGCAAACTCCAGTGTCACAGACAACTGGGCTACTACTGAGATCCAACGGCTCCAACTAGGCCGAGTTTATGCAGCCTCCATCTTGTATGGTTACTTTCTCAAATCTGCCTCCTCTAGATACCAACTGGAAAAATGCCTAGCTTTGGCTCATCAAGACCGTCTGAGTCGTAGGAACTCCCTTCAGTTTCCAGATCTGTTGCCCTGTGGATTTAAAAGGCTGGTCTTTGGCCATGTTAGTGACCAGCAATCTGTTTCATTGGGTCAAGGGCCAGGTAGACAGGAAAAGAATCTCGAAGAATTAAGGTGTTACGTGATGGGATTTGACCCTGAGACATTGCAGAGATGTGCCAAACTGAAATCCAAAGAGGCCATAAATTTGATTGAGAAGCATAGCTGCGCACTCTTTGGAGATGAGAAGACAGGTGTGCTGGAGACTGGTGAGGTGATTTTGACATCCTTTTCAAGCCTGAAGAGGTTAGTTTTGGAAGCTGTTGCATTCGGTTCTTTCCTTTGGGACATAGAAGAATATGTTGACACCGTGTATAAGCTGAAGGACAACTGATTGGATAGGGGGAGGAATTAAAAAAGACATAGCAGTTTGAGTAAAGTCTCTTTGTACAGAGGATGTATATTTTCTGCTTCATTGCTTTGGTTTGCAAGCACCCAGCAATTTGCCTTGTATAGCTATAAGTTGGTATTATAAATAATGTACAGTATACAACTTTTCAACTGTCTCTCGTTGCGGCAGTGGAGCAATCACCATTACTCAGTTTTTGATGAGGTTTTGCACTTATTTTCTACGTGGTTGATGACAAAATTTGAGAGTTAGCAAACCAGTGGTAGTTAATGTTTCCCCTCAAGGGCATAACTATTAAAATGTCAAGGGTAAATGCATGATTTTGAATTCTGAGGGCTTTATTTTTGTTCAGAGAGTCTCGAAGATGGGTTGAGATTGCCTCTTCGAGAATTGTGTAAGTAAAGAATTTGACAGTGTTCTGCTGTATTAATTCCTTGGATTAATCTTTAATGTAACGGCTGTTAGGATCTTTCTCTTTCTGTCCTTCGTGGTTTTACTGATTGAGTGATTCATAGTTGTCCTACAAAAGAAGTATGATAATTTTTCTTTTTCTTCTCCCAGACTGAATAAATTGTGTACTGACTACTGAGGATCTTACAAAAGCAGGATTCTCCGAGTCCTATCCTAATATCTTATAACCGTTATTGTAAAAGATTGAAGCTGCTGTATTTATTTCATATTTCCGAGGTTGGACATATGCGGTTATCATTGACCAAATGCTTTGGTGTGAATTGATTTCACTCTAATTTAGCCAAATGGTTTGGTGCAACTTGATTTCACTCTACCAAGTCATATGCCTGTAGTTATGGGGGTCAGAAGAGGAACTCTACAGCATTGTTGGCGTTGAGAGTGATCTTAGAGTTGTCTGAATATCCAAAACTCGGATGCAGGTAACCAGAAAACTCGGTTTGGTTTGGCAAGATGTTTGGAACTGACCGGTTTGTTTAACTCCGAATGGAAACCTGGATTGGAAGCACATCCACTTCAAGTAACTAATTACCCTTGCTTAGAAACCTGGATAGGCTGTCCATCCACTTCAAGTAACCTGTTTAACATGGATGATCGCCTTCTTCTAAAGCAACTTGCTGTTCTTAGATTCTCAAAAACTTCTTTTAAAATCTTGTTTCACTCAAATCTGATGCTGTTTCCGATTTAGATATTGTTACCTAGTGTTGACTTGGTAAGGGTTTTAAAGCGTATTGAGTCAACAGGGCATTTTCTAAAACATTAATCAGCAGGACTTTGGAAGCTGTGAACTATGCAATTTTAAGTCCACCCTTTTGTCTGATGTAATCGAGCTTTGATTAACATATTCTAAACTTTAATGAATTCAATACGAAACTCGAATTCTTAATGGAACCATTGCAGCATTTGAATCAATGAACGAATTATGTATAATCCTATGAAATCAAACATAGAAAACAAAATGAGAACTCGTTTCTTGGGAAGGGCGCTACTTTTGATTTGGATATTGACTGCACCTTACAATGAGAGGAAAGGGAGAACCTTCCATCATCATACATGGCTTACTAACTCTTCTCTCTAATTATTTTTATACGGTCTATATTTTAGTAATAATTAGTCAGAATCATCCATGTGAAAGCCAAATGTAATTTAGTTTAATCGACTTTCCAAGAAGTGAAGACAACTACTCAATATAATACCACGCGCAACAGATCATCTCACCAAGTTTCAACTTTCAATGGTCTATAAACTAATCAAATACCTCCCTACATCACCCTGGAAATTTTGCACCAATTGAAGGTTCTATAGAAAACTACTCTTCTTCTTCTTCTTCTTCATTTCCTTCCTTTACAAGTTTTTCTTCTTTCATAGCTCCTCAGAAATATTAGCAGAAGAAGGATGTTTTCTCTCTTCCTCAAAGTTCTTTTTTGCATAGTCAGCACGATAGCAAACCTGGTTACTCGCTTAATGTTCTCCGCCACAGCATACCTTCTTGTGTTATTTATCCATGCTTTCAAGGTACCCGGTGAAGCCCTCCAGGGTGCGTTAGAACAACTGGCGGAGGCCATCAAGGCATGTTTGGAGTACTTCCTGGAGCTGATTATGGAGCTAACCAGTTCTCTTATCTCTTCTGGTTTTGATCTTTTTATTGAAGCGGTTACTTCGTCTGCTTCTGTTTCCGGAGCAGCTTTTGGTACATTTGTGGAGAAGACGAGAACTTCCCTTGAAGAGTTGTTGACAGACATACCGGAGATTGCTGAAGGGTTTTCCGAGATGATTTCAACCGTGGTTACAGATTTGTGGAACAATTACAAGTACGCTTTGGGATATGTTACAGAAAATGCTTAATTGTGTATTAGCATATATCATCAGGTTGCTTGGTTGTTTTATCATACAAATATGGTGTACAATACCAACAATTTTGTTTCAGGAACTAAACTCTTTCCATCAATCTCTTACCCAAAACTTAAGGGATGCTGCCTATAATCTTCAAAAATTGTGTCAAACGATCCATCTCGTGTATTATATGCAAACAAATGATCCATCTCAAATTGTCTATGGTTTATGCCTTCCATCATTGTTATTTTGTATGTAAGAAAAAGACCAGGTTCTTGGTGCCGGTACAAATTGACTAGGCCAATATCTATTTCTCCTTTCTATTGATACACAAGGTCGGATGCAAGATCCTGAAGAATATGAATGTTTTCTAATGACACTTTTGTTTTTTTTATTTTGATAAAAACAAATTATAGTTTGCTGTACTTGTTCATGAATATGACCACATTTACAAGGAATTGGAGGCTCGTTAAGGCACGAAAAGGAATAATTCCAGAGTCAAAAACAATTCGTGTTGTGTAGGATGACTTTTCTTTTGGACAAGTCCACGTTGACCTTAAGAATGGGAAAATATGTATGTGCTCGACCTCACGGCGAACCTCATTTAAAGTTGTCCAATGCTAAGGAAACACTTGACTAAGCATTTGTTCAGAAAAGTATTGAGAATGGAAAATTATTTCCTTCACTATTGTTGATTGGTGTTCAGTATTCACTAATCAGCTCTTCGTTGTAGTATTTCTTTTCTCTCTTTTTTTGGTTCATTTTTTCTATAAGTGAAATTATATATTAGGATTAGCTTTAAACCCTTACCTATACTAATATCTATTGAAAATGTTGTTTGATGTATATAGTGTTAATGGAGGAGAACAAAAGAACTGTTGACGCATAGACAACATTGAAACTATAGAATCCATGACAATGGTAAATTTATTGCAAATCGAGTAATATCAATATATTAATTCTACTTCAAGATGACAAAACCCAACCTTCTACACTCTCAAAATTTAATATCAAACTTTTGTCTTCCTAGGATGAAAAGTATTCAAGAAAGGAAATTAAATGTATAAACCCTGAAAAATCATGCATATTTTTCAAAGAATAATTTAATTAACATTAACAAGTTTTTATAAATATTTGTTAATCAATATTGATAGTGGTATGATCGTATCTATTCCTCATTGTTCATCACCTTATATGTCTCTCAACAATCACCAACATCAACAAATATTAGAAAAGGTCAAAAGCCCATTCAAATCAATGCAATCGTAATCAAAATGCTTAAAATAAGAAATTAACCACTGACCTAAAATATCATCCGCCTGCAATTTCCACTAGAGTAATGATCTCATGAACTTGATTCTATTGAAGTTACAATTAAAACTTGACATGGTTTAATTACAACAATTAAATCTTAATTCATAATAATTGCATAGAATTGCTTTGAATAATTAAGATTGAATAAATCTGACTTTATACTTAATAAAAATTTCATAAAAGTATATTTAACCTTAAATTACAAACTGTACAAAATTATCAACTCAAATTAGGCCTTGGTGTGTGCGTCTAGTGGGGCCCTCACCCTCTTCTCTTTAATAATTTAAAAATTTTTATTATTTTAAATTTTATAATTTCATCTTTACAAAAATTTAAAAAATTTTTTAACATAATTTTATTTTTGTAGAATTTTATAATTTTGCCATTACAATAATTTTTTATTTGGTGAGATACCCCATAACTTTAGTCAACAACTAATTTTAATAAGAGTAAAATGAAACCTATTGTAATAAAATTATTCTCAAACTTCATTTCTCCAAAATCTCACAACCACCTACTCTTGTTATTTTTTCCTTTTACCAAAGGCTGAAAAAACAAAAAGAAAAATCAATTGTTTTACACTTTTTTTGCTTGCAAGCATTCTCTATGCAAAAAACTTTTAATCAGTAACTCAATTTTCATATTATGATAATTGATAAGGTTATTTTATTTACTTATTTTATTTATAATATGTTCAACTTTAAATATTTTTATTTAATAATTTCTATTTGGTAATTTTGATTTAGGATTTATCATCTTAGTCATTTTTTGTTGAACATAACATGCACACATATCGTCATTTGTAACATCAAGGAAACTGGTGAGCCATCACAACGTGTGGAAGTGTAAATAAAACTCTTTTTAAATGAAACTGATTTTAATAACTCATGCAAATATTTCATCATAAATATAAGAACCTTAGGTGAAAGGTAAGGCTCTCGAGCCAATCATAACTAGTAACTATCAAAGCATTTAAAAACATGTAAATCATTTTGCCACTCATTACTACAAACTCATAAATAATCATCCATCAACATATATCATATAATAGAAAAATAAAGACCGACTCGTCAGCGGAACATGACATGATCCTCTGAGTTGTAAGTGGTTGCTAGAACACTTACCAAGAAAGAATGGATCGCATCTCTGTGACATTGGCTACTAGAGAGCTATCTCATTAATCTACCAAAAAAAAAAGAAAAAGAAAATTAACCTGTGAGTCACAACAAAGAAGGGGACAAGCCAAGAAAATGAGTTTTTCATAACTAATAAGTTGCGTAATCATGTCATTCATAAATCTCTTTGTTTTCTTCAAAACTCTTGAAACATATTGTTTAAAACCTTTTTTGAAGGATTTTGTTGATACCACACTTGTGTAAATCATTTAGAGTGAAATAAGAGTTATTTGCTTTTGAAAAACCTTAAAAAAACAACTTCAAAACACTATATTGTGAAGCATGAATTGATACATTTGACGTATATATCGGTACTATTTACACAGAATGCTTCTTAAGATATTCTATCCTAAATGTATCGATACATGTTCTTCATGTAACAATACTTCAGGTATAAAACTTAGGTTTTTGTGTAATTTCTTACATTTTCTAATTCTAAAAAAAATCTTTCTATTCAAATAGACTATCCAGTAGGCTAAGTTTCAATTGAACTAAGCTCTATTTCATCATATCCGTGTCTATATCAGATCATACTAATTCATTCAAACATGTATGTAGCATAATCATATCGTCCTCTAACCTCTAGAATATTTCTAATAATCATTAATACTTACTAACTGTGAGTGGTTCCTACTTCAACTCGAACCAGATATTGGTCCAATCCCCATTACTTTAGATTCC